AAATACAAATTTACATCTGTCAAATATACCAAATAATGTTATCATAAAGAATGTTTCACAATTTTCTCTAGATTGTAAAAAAGAAAAAAATTATAATTACCACTGTTTAGTTACACAAACACTAAATATCTATAATTCTTGATACACAGACATTTATTATTTGTGTAATTGAGATAAAAATTTCACCCTTCAAATCTACGAAATAGTACTGTACCAAGAACATTTCTGAAATTTTTTTATGTTTAAAAAAAATGAAAATTTACAATCAATACAGTTTAGTCACACAGACACTAAAACTCTTTATTTTCTTGAACACAGACATTTACTATTTGTGTAATCTAAATCAAAATAGACATTTACTCTCTGTGAAAATATATTTCACAGACAACGAATGTCTGTAGCATCATTATTTATTCTCTTCCACAACTATTCAAAATTAGTGCAACCTTGTTCAATTTTTTTATTTAATAGATCCTCAAACACTTTTAAAAAACAAAAATCTTACAAAATAGCAAATATTCAATATCTATGCAACTTCATTGTAAAAATTCTATGAGATAGTTTCTCACAGACACCATATACCTGTGTGGTTCTTAAAATAATGAAATATCATTATTTTACAAAAATATTAAATCAGACTCCAAAAAGTCACAAATAAACATCTAAGACCAACAATAATCATAATAAGAAGTTTTTACACGGATTTGATTTGAACAAATCAAAAGATTGAGGTGTTGATGGTGACGGGGAAGGAGCAGACGACGACGGAGTTGATGCAGCACGGCGATGGGTAAGGTGGTGGTGGCAACCACAGGGAAGAGACCGCCGGCGGAGGAGATGACGCAGCCCTAGGAAATCGATGCTTTTGGTCGAAGAAGAGAGAGAGACGGTTGCTTCTCATCTCTAGTGGTCTATTTTGTGGTGGAAAAGAAAAGGGGAGGGGGGAGGGGGTATATGGGGTACAAGCTGGGGTACACATGTGGTGTACCCAGTGTACCCCTAGCACATCCGATATATATATAATACATACAATGTATAATATATTACAAAAATATTTTTCTTTCTGGAACAATATAATATAAAATGAAATAATTCTTTAAAATATGAAATAAAATAATAGATACAGATACTTTATTTATATTATAGTGTTGTATGGTGTAAGAATCATATTATATTCATTATGATATAAAATAAAATATTATATAGAAATATTTTATACTCGTATATTAGAAAGAGTTACAGTCCGGGGCAGGCCGTACCCGTTTGGATCACTTTCATGTGCTGATATAGGCATCTTGTTTGGCCTGAATTATGCGGTCGGGCTAGATTAAACTCAGGTCCAGCCTGAATCCATTCCAGATTAGTGTTTTTACTTTTTACAGGACTCTCGTCTATTTCCCGTCGAATCCGGGTTTTTAGAAATTGGTGGGGGAGGACAATCTCAATTTCTTCGAGATTCTGGTCTGTTTTACAATCACCCAGATCCACTGATTCAGTGATACAGGCCGGTATAGTGTATACACTACACTCCGCTCCCCCAGCTTCGCGAAGCTCTCTCTGTATTTCTATCTTTTCCAGATGGCCTCTGTCATAGCGAGGTTTCCGTCCCCTCCAGTAGCGCCCATCCACGGAAGACGGCAATTTGTTGGACTTAATCGGATGTCTGCCGTTTCTACCTTTTCGGGTATGCTTCTTTTGG